GTGATGCAGGACTGTCTGACGGTTTTAAAGGATTGAGGCGCTGGGTACTCTTCATTTGAACACAAGTTCAAAAGTTTGGAGGATGTTGGAGGATTGAGGATGGTTCCTGGCAAAAAGGGCCTAGGGAGTTAGGGTTGAACATCCCGAATCGGTGAGAACCAGGGCACAGTTTGAAAAAAACAAACAAGAAATCACCAGCGTCCTCCACGGGTGATTCAGGACAGCCCGCGTGACACCCCCAATGACAGAGTTGTGGTGAATTGTGATGCTGAATGGCTCTGTCATTCTAACACTAAGTTACATTTCAGCCGATGCCACGCTCTACAGTATCTGGAACCCCTGTACATGTACATGTACTTTATATATGTGTGTCACTGACTCTTCAGTGTTTGGGGATTCTTGCCCCCTCTCCTTCAGATGGCCTTTTATAACCTCCTTTGCAGTTTTTGTTGTGACCCACAGAAAAATCCCCAATGCAAGATATCCTTTCAGTTGCAGTATTTCTTCCCCACGTTTTCTTTTTTTGTGTGTCCTCTAGAGCACCTTAGCAGGAGACGTTTGCCTTTTGTGTCAGGACCCTTTTCTTTCATTTTTTTAGGGAAGGTCTTCTACCTCATTTTTGTAGTCTTTACTTGCTGTCAGAGTGCAGACCAGGCCCCCGCGCCAGCCTGCTGCGTTTCATTCGCCCCTCTCGACCGTGCCACTGGGGCTCCGGACAAAAGTTTGCTGTAGGTGTTCCTGGCTCGTTGCTTTGTCTGAATAAAAAGAAAGAAGAAAGAAAAAAAGAAGAATTACATTAGCTGTTTCCTATTCTCCCTAAGCTGCCTTGCCTGGGGCTTCTGCAAAAGTTTGTAAGAGCTTTTCTTCCGTACGTCTTTTTTATTTTTTCCTCGGATCACAGGAAGACTGGTTTGTCAATCTCCGAACCATCCGGCTGCGGGTCTCCCTTGAAACGTAGGGCTAGGGCTAAGGCGAAAGTTGGCCGGAACTTTTGTCCGTATCCAACACAGATTTCAATTCTCTGGAGAAGAGCTATCACCTTTTATTCTCGTCTGACTTTTGCCATTTGACAGGGGTCATTTTCTTCGGCTTTCCGGCCGCTACAATCAAGGGAAAAAAAATATAATTTGATTTTCTGCCACTTTTCTTTATTTCTTTCCTCCCAAAGTAAATAAGCTTGCCGTTCTCCGAAGAAATGACAGGAAACGTCTCAGTTTGGGAACAAAGTACCAGGGCCTATGCTACTGACTTTAATGAAATAATGAAGTCAATTTTCAACCTTGTTAGATCCATCAACTCGTAAATCCTCAAAAGAAATACAATTAAAAAGCGGAAACTGCTCGCTAAATGTTGTAATTTGGCAAGTCACAATTATAGAATTTGATACTAAAGCAAAAAGACCAAGAGCAAAATGAGCCTACCGAGTGCTTCCAGAAAAGCAACGGATGCCATAATTAGAAAACAGCTTTAGATTAACCCGTGAATTCAGTGTAAAAAAAATGATACAAAATTGGACTTACATTTGTGGACAAGCACATGGCTGTTTCGGCATTTTGTTAATGCCTGTTCAAGTTGTTTTAAACACTAATAATTATTGCACATCCCACCGTATACCAAACGAATTGAATTTAGTGCCCAAAGTGCCATGACATGTTAGATGAAAACGTGTACAAATGCTAAAGGGGAATGGCTGAAAAAGAAGGGGGGGGGGAACTCTTAACAAAAACAAAGGCAGTTTCGGCAAGTTGCCGAAACAGCCCCCCCCCCCCCCAAAAAAAAATAGTCGCATTGACTTCTTAAAATTGCAGAGCCGAAGTAGCTAGATTGGTTGTATAGATCTGTTTAATGACCATTCACGTTGTCTGTGATCTGGAGAATCACCGATGACCATTTGGGAATCAAAAACCCCGGACGGATTTTTCATTTTGTTTAAACTTTGGCCGTTCAACAAGGCAACGTTCTTCTCTGTATTAGATTAATCTACAAGTATAATCGCACCATAACGTGACATGTCTCTTTTTTTTTTTTTTTATATCTTTTCTTTTTTTTCCTTGACAACACGACCGAATCCCTTGCCGGAAATCTCGACGGCCGTGGAGTTTTTCAGAATCTCACTGATTGCTTTCCCTTAAGGTGAACGATGCCGGTCGTTGACACCTCGACAGACTAGGAAGGGGAAAAGCATGAAAATGAAGAAAGAAGAAAAAAAAAATAATGGTAATAATTGAAGTGGATAAATTTGTTAAGATTGCGCGTTTAGGTTTTTTCGCCGTTTTCATTTCACACTTGACAATCTCATCAAAACGCTGCTGTAACAACAGCATCATAATTACGCGCCAAGCGTCAAACTGGTAACATTATACTCGCGGCATCAGATGTCCACAAAAATTCATCAACCATTCAAAATATTTCTCGTTGCTATGGTGCCGGCGATTATCCCCGGGGAAAAAAAATTGAATTCATTTTGCGCTGGGATTTTTGTTACTGCATCAGTAGGCAGGGTGAAATAATTTGATGACTATGTTTTAAAATTTGATATACATGTACCTTTTATTCTGTTGTTGCAACATATTGATTTGATCTCTCTTTTAAATCATAAATATTGCCTTAAATAGTGGAGTAGATTTTTGTGTCAACATTTATGTTATGAATTTCAGGATATTTTAATCCTTGAAGATTTTAAAACTTCAAATGTCGTGAGTAGTTTCCTGCAGTGTTCTCCAAATGAATCGAAGCAAGGACAATTTTTACAAACCAAACAAAACAGCTGTCTAATTTAAAGATGGACCCTTTAACGAACATAAAAAATTCAACACTAAATTTCATTTGTTTGGAAGAGGAATACAAGTGTACTCAAAATGCAGCCCTCTGAAAATACCTGTGATTGATAAAGATTTGTTTTTAAAACAGTAGAAACAGCGAGTATTGTTTCAGCAGCTGTCAGGAAAGTGCTCCACCTTTTCCGTCTACGAGATAATTTCTCCAGACCTCTCAATCTTGCGGGGCAAGACGAAGGCCAATTTTGTCCCGCGACCCTTCGACCCAGATTACCAAGTCCTACTTTAAAAAAAAAATAAAAAATTTGACGCTCATGTACTGGCGTGTCTTGGCAACATTAAACGAGAGAGAAAGGTGCGGAAGAGGCTGAAGAAGAATAAGAAGAAGGGAAAGGAAAAAAAAATGAGACAAACAAGTTTAGCGGGAACCATTTATCAAATGCAATTTAATTGTCGACATGGGCAGTTTTTGGATCGGATTGCTAGCGCGGCATTGTTGCGGCTGTATTAGCCTCTGGGCTTAGCCCGGACTTCGTTCTGCGCAGCCGATGAAGACAGAACTGCAAATAAGACGCTAGAAAATTTTCAATTTGGGAGCTGCTTTCTTCTGTCTATCCTTTTTTGCCTCTCTCAGGGTGCTTAGATCGGTTATTGGCTGATGACTGGATCGTATCGTCAGTCTGTCCAAACGATGTAATTGAACAAGATTGTCGGGACAGGCATTCTTCAAAGCCTATCAATAGTTTTATGTCCAGAGCAGATTTTAGGCAACAATTTTTGATGCACATCAGTTATTTTATTTCCTCACAGACCCCTCCCTTCCCCCCAAAAAGTACATTTTATCTGGGATTTAAAAACAAAGAATAAGAGGAACAGAGGAAAAATCAGACCAGAAACAATGCCTCTTCCGTAATTTTGTGGAAAAAAAATTAAAAAATACAACCTTTGTCTCCTGTGTAAATGTAAAAAGACAAAGGTTTATAAGTATGAGATTGAAAGTTTAAATGTTTGTGAAAAAAATGAAATTGGGGCACAGCTTGTTTTTATTGATCTGCGTTAATTTCCAAAGGAAATTAAAAATGGACATGTAAACGAAAATGTTGCTCTAGTCTTAAGAAATCATACACCTTACAGAGCATTGACTCCCAAGATTTATTGCAAGTAACCTTGATCAAAAATTGGAGTGATCTCAATTTTGATTCACGCAATAAAGACAATTTTCTGTGAATTTGTAACAAACATCATGCATGAAATTTGCCGCCAGTGCATTCATACGGGTTTTTAAAGGCATCCGATTTAGCATAGCGAATTAATCATTATCGATACACAAATCACAAAATTGTAAAAAAAGAGGCATCAAGCCTAATTGTACAGCCTTGCCATCCAGTGCTTTACATTCAAACATTGATTATTAATATCACGCGCCAAGGAGTCGTTAGCTCGTTAAATGTACCCCTCCATTTGCTGCCCCTGACTGGTTGCGTCGTGGAGCTCGCGTGGCGTCGGTTTATGCAAATTGCCAACGACCTCGATCACAGCTCAGCTGAGGTTGTTTCGTATCGATCCCATTTTCCCAGATTTTTTACCCCCCCCCCCCCCATCACGCTGTTAAAGGCCGTCCAATGGTTGAGGGTTTTTGTTCTCGCAATCTTGGCGTTCGTTCAGTGTGAAAATTGATCAGTCCCTGTCGTGGCACAGTGAACTAACATGTCCCTCGAATAAAGATCGACAATTTCCACCAGAATTTTATAACGCAAGCATTTGTATCCCTCAAAAAGTCGCAACAGTTTTAAAAACAATTTCAAAACTTTTCCAATTTTAGGGGTCAACACATTTGATTTTAAGATCATCAATGATTTTCAAAAAAAAAATCTATATTACTTTGTCTTGTTCTTTTCCCATATTTTGTTGTACTTATTCTTTACAATTGTCTTGTCTTTGATTATGTCAAAATGAACTTTGATTTATTTCCAAAATTTGAATTTCTTGTTAATATCATGCTAGTTTGTCTGTTTTTTTCCCCCTGTGCAAACGTTCATGTATTTTCATTGAAGTTGTCTTTTCTTGATGTTATTTGACTTAAGTTTGACTTATTTCCATCTATTGATTCGTTTCTAAATGCTTGATAAATGACGAAATATTTAGGCAACGTACACATTTAAGATGTTGCATGGGAACTATCTCTGTGGTAATGTCCAACCTTGTGACCCTCTCACCGTCACTATGTGCACCACCCTGTCTGTCGACCATTCCCTTGCTAACCACTCTCCCCACCGTCTTGTCACCGTGTCCGTGACTACATTCGACCCACGCTCTCAAGCCATCGTCCTCTCTCTCTCTCGCATCACCCCCACAACCGTAAGAATACTGAAAAATTGACCGGGATCGTGCTGCATGTGCACTCCTGCACTCAGAAGAACCGAAATTCAACCGGGGGTTCCTCGAAATCCAATATTTCTTCTCCGTCATTTTTTTCCTTCTCATGTCAGACCTAATGAAATCGCTTTCATTCCCCACTCAGATGCCTCATAGACCTTGACTTTCTTAATTTCCTCGCCGCGTTTGTACTCTTTTTATCCCCTATTTCGCCAAGAGTTTCATTCCTGCACCTTCATTTCTCATCTTTGTCCCCTATCCCCCCCCCCCATATACCTTCTGTTCTTTTTCTTTTCTGTTATTCCTGCCAACCTCTGAAAGCCTTTTCAAGTTCTCCATTTTCCTTTCGATCGGTTTATGAAATGCCATCCACATCTTGAAATCTGATAGCCTGCCGAATTCTGCTTTTTAAATTTTTTTTCCCCTTCAAATTCCATATGCCCAGTGTCGTCAACTTTTCGGCCGGGAATCAATCCTAAAGATTTCAGGGGAGATACCAAGTGATCTGACATACTGCTTCACGTCTCTATCACCCTTGTTCTTTTATTTATCCGCTCTGTACACGTTCATTGATTCGGCCATTTCTCTGAGTTTCTTTTTAAAGCCCGCTTGGCTTATTTTTTTCTCTGATTATTGTTTCACTCCTGATTTCTGTTGGACCTGTTAACCTCTCAATTGAGAAAATAGGTGTTCATTCTGTACGAAGTGCCGCTTGACTTTGCGTACGTATATTTATGCTCGAGGAATAGCAGTGCTCTACTGTAGGAGTTCGTTGTTCGCTTCAGGATAGGAAACATTGTCATTATGTGCATTAAATTCTTCATGTAGTTATTCGTCAGATTTTGATTTAAGTGGTTATTGATAAAATTAGAGTTTTGCTTTCTGTACACATGTACTGTATATGCTGAGTAACAACAATATTTACCCTTCTATGTAAACATGCATTCTGTGCCAAGTAGTCCTTTCAGTCAAAATCAAACAAGTGACTGTTTTCAACAGTTAAGAATTCCTAGCCTACGTAAAGCAGGATTGACTGGCTGGGACTGTTTATGTAACTTGATTTCACAGGGAGCTTGAGAGACTATTATGCACTTACAGTCAAGTAAGGTATTTCATAATCATTTGGTAGTTTTGTTTTTGGATGTTTGCAAATGTTTTATATTATCTTTAAAGGCAGCCTTTTGTTCTTAATTCCTGCTAAAAGACTAATCTTAAAAAAAATCCTCTAAAACTAAAAAGGTCTACAACTACTATAAAAATAATTCCATCATACTACCCACCCCCTCGCCCCCCAAAAAGCTTTTTGTGGTTGGCATTGTATTCCTGTAATTGACATCTGACTGTGGCAAAATGTACATTTGTAGCCAGAGAAGAAAGTGCATCCAAAAAAATTCTCGGCGGGTTATCACAGCCAATTCAATTTAGTATCCTCTCTGCCTTGTCGCTAACCACCAACCCCCAAGACATATCCTGCCTGTCGTTCTATCCCAATCTCCAGGGTCTCCGGAAGTTGGAAAATATTTATTTTTCTCTCTTGTCCTTACTCTCCAAATCTCACTCGTTTCTCGGCCCACCTCACTTTATCCTCGATCTTTTAGTGCATTACCCTGATGAAACCCGATAACGGTCAAAACCGGAATAGAAATCAGATACTAAAAGCGAATCGGTAAGAAAAGTAAAAATCCTCAGTTTAACCCTTTTTCTGTCTCCTTGCCCCCTTTTTTCCCTCTCGCCCCGCCCGCACCCCTGGGACAGTCTTGAGATGACAAGACAAGTGCATTTGGATGTCATCTTGAAGAGAGTGCAAATGTACATGTATGCTGCCTAGAGTTGGCATTCTGACAGGCTTGCAGTTTCGTGTACACAGAACTCAATGAGAAATTACTCTTACTATTGCACTCGTCTAGTTCGCATTCTGACAGGCTTGTAGTTTCGTGTACACTGAACTCAATGTGAAATTACTCTTACCATTGCACTCATCTGGTTCGCATTCTGACAGGCTTGCAGTTTCGTGTACACAGGACTCTATGTGAAATTTACTCTTACCATTGCACTCGTCCAGCTCGCATTCTGACAGGCTTGCAGTTTCGTGTACACTGAACTCAATGTGAAATTACTCTTACCATTGCACTCGTCTTAGTTCGCATTCTGACAGGCTTGCAGTTTCGTGTACACTGAACTCTATGTGAAATTACTCTTACCATTGCACTCGTCTAGTTCGCATTCTGACAGGCTTGCAGTTTCGTGTACACTGAACTCTATGTGAAATTACTCTTACCATTGCACTCATAAACATCTAAAACATGAAAAAAGTAAGACTGCTGCAAACTGCTTACTGACTGGGTGGACCTGAAATATGTAAATCTAAAAATTAATGTGGCCTGACGTTGCGAACTTAGCAAGTTCTTCTTCAGAGGCTAAAACAGAAATGACAGAGGTACATACATTAACATGGGGGTGCACACAAACATGCAGGGATGAAAGAAGAAACACAAAAGGAGGATTAGGTGGGAAAGGTGTGGACAGATGCAGGGGAGGGTGGATGAGAGAACAAAGAAACAAAGGGAGATGGCAAACCACAAGGGGTCTGGTATGAACAGGGGAGGGACCATAAAGGGGAAGGATCAAAGGTCACAGGGAGTGGGAACGGACAAAAGAGTGTGGGAGTGAAGGGGGATTATGCGGGGGGGGGGGGGGGGGGGAACAGTATGGAGGTGGAAAGGGATGAAAGATGGGGAAAGATGGGGAAACACAAACAACGAGGACCAGGTGGATTATCTGTAACAGAAGACAATGGAGGAAGAAAAATATTAATCATTTCCAAGTTGGATGTTGAGACCACATGAATCCGGCCCATTGTGCAGACCAGATGCATGAAATCGACTTCCAGTGAATAGTCGTTCTGAATCAAAGGAGTACAATTTTGGGAAAAAAATGTTGCAACCTGACGCCATTTTTCTTCTTCTTCATATATCATCTCAATGAAGGACAGTCATTGCACAAATGATGATAAGACATGAATCTGGGACTGAGACACATTTCCAATTTTGTTAGGAGATACTTAGAAAATGTTCTTGACTCTCTCCAAAGACTTTGTACGCTGAAGTGGCATCAAGTTGCAACATTTTTTTCCGCATTTTGTGCACTCTCGGACCAGCTTTAGCAGGCCTGCCTTGTACTGTTTCATGTCATGGGTCATGCATTCTGGCTCAAGATTTTATTTGTAATTTGTATCGCAGTTTGTGGAGAGGGTGACTTGAATTTTTAATACAGTCTTTTTTGGGCCAGAAACCTTTCCGACTTGAACATCCGAGTACGATAATCCGAGAAGGAATCATGCATTTTTTAAAAGAACGCACTCGTCGTCTGTTCCAAGATCCGAGGGCTGATTGTATCTTGGACCGCGTCTGTGCAGCTTAGCTTGACATTTGAATTTCAAAGCAGACACAAGTTTGTTATTTTTTGTACTGTTAGCCGGAGAGAAAAAAAATGGCAACTGTAGCGCTAGCAAAAACAGGGTAATCCTAGACGATAGCTTGTTGTCCTGTCCAGACTGAATTGGTTTCTCACCTTAAAAGCTTTTCCAGGATGCATATAGAGGTCATTTTTTTTTCTGAATTTATAAAAAAATTTTTTTAATCTTATTATAAGTCCAGGACACGAATCACCTTATTTTTTCCCTCCTCGCCTCCTCGCAAAGAAAAAGATGGCGGAAAAAATCCGGGCCGAAGTTTTGTTCAGTGTTTGGTTTGAAAATAACGGGCCAGTCTTTTTGGCAGGCCTCAAGAATAACAAGGAGGAGCCCCAGCCCGACTTGTCGGGGCAAAGGCGTGCAAACTGTTTACAGAGACAACATCAATTCTGTCTTGGTTGCCGTAGCAACCGTTTCCCAACCCCATCCCCCCTCTTTTTTATTTTCTTCTCCTCCTCGGTCGAGGTGCCGTCAGGTGAAGACGGCACAGCTATTCAGCTTGATCGGATAATCGATATTTCTCTTTTTTTCCTCTCTCTTTGCCCTGGCCGCGGGACTTATCGTCATATCTGGTTTCTGAGCTGTGTGTTTGTCGTCATTGACAAACTGGAGGAATTTACAAAAGAATAAATCGCAAAGTGCACCGAGTTCCTTATTGACGAAGTACACTTTGTGACAAATCAAGATCGATTCTCTCTTTTTTCTTCTTCTTTTTTTACAGTTTAGGCTCGGTTACTTTAGACCATTGTTGAGCCAACTGTCACTCATGAGCTGACTTGAAAACGTAAACAGGTTTTTTTTCCCTTATTTTTTTTTTTTACAAATAAGCTGATTGACTTCCTTGATATTGTGCGAACACTTGTGCATCTTGAAGTTTCTTAATTAATTTTTTAATTGTAATCGTTAATTTGAAAGTGAGCTGGAGATGCGGTGAAGTAATATCCATATCGTTAACAAGCTTTGTTTGTTTTTTCTGACATGCTATCCCTGTCTGTTACCCCTAAAAAAAACAAGGAACAAATATTTTCTTGATGAAATTTCACGTTGAAATCCCATGCCCAATATTTTGAAAATTAAAGTGATATGAAATTTCTCAATCACAAATCAGTAATAGTAATACAAATAATTGAAAAATTATATCTCATTGTTTCCATTATGACCAATGATCAAAAGCGCATAAAAAGTCTTCTAAACAAAAAAAAGGACAAAAAATGCTTTAGAAACTCAACTTAAAAGTAAAAATACATTGATCTACGTATTACAATTAGCATACAAATAAAAAAATAATCCACATTAAAATAACTGTATGATACACAAACAAAGCTAAAAACATTGAAATTATAATACACTTCATCTACAAAAGCATCAGTTATAAGAACTGTCTTTTGGAGAAAAAAAAAAAGGTAAAATATCTACCCACATTTTTTTATGGCCATTCTTCCTTGTATAATGTGCTGCCCATAATTTTGACCAACCCTTGGCCCTCGCACAATGTCAGTATATATCTACA